AGGGTCACAAGCAACATTATGTCAAATCTGTGAAGACTTACTCCAGCACCTCTTTCATAATTTCTGAAATTTCTTTGTTGAAACAGCACATTAGGTTCACGTCATAACAAATATCCTCAAAATCATTTCATTTCCCACACTCACTCTCTCCCCGACAGAAGCACAGTGACAGTAAGATTACCCTCTATGAGTGTGAAGACTTCATGGGACGTAAATTTGAGCAAGGAAGTTCCCTCAATCAAAGTCAACTCTGGAGCGTAAGTCACCTCACCACCTTTTTAACACAGGTCATCTGTCATTAATAAACTAGGATAAATAACTAAATATTGAATAACTATATTTAATTATTCAGTATTTTTGAATGTTTGTTACAAAAGCCAGACAAAATGTTTTGATTGCATATATATATATATGTAAGATTTTCAGTAAATGTCATTAAAACACATATCTACAATACATGCAATCAAAACATTTTGTTTGTAACAAACATTACATCAATTGTCTTTATAACTCATATTATATTATATTATACAGAGTGTTGTCCTTTGTGGATCTCCATTTCTTTGTGACAAATAATGTATCACTGATGTAGCAGCTCCCTGCCCACAGTCTTATTGGTGTGCAGTGCAATAAATGAGATTTGCCTTTTTCTCTGGCAGCTGGGTAGGCTATCAGTTTCCCGGTTACCGTGGATATCAGTACATCTATGAGAGAGACAGACACCAAGGAGAGTACAGATGCTACAATGAGTACGGCACCCAGGCACATACCAATCAGATCCAGTCTATGCGCAGAATTCAGCAATAAGACCCACCACCATTGTGTACCCACCATGTCATGCCGTGTCAATACTATAGGCAATAAAGACATTATTTAAACTATAGTAAAAGAGTGTTTGTGGCAATTCCTTGCTTTTTGTAATTAAAACAACTTTGCTCAATTCATGGATCTGCTAAAAGGCAATTATTGATTTAAAACAAGAAGATCCGATGTTTTTTTCAAAGCTATATGTAATTAGAACAGGCCTCCCACATTTCTAGGTATATGTAATCATGCAGAAATTTTAGCAAGGTTTTTTCTAGAATAGTCAGACTAGACTGATGGAGGAATAAGCCACTTCATTATATTTAACAATTAGGATGTTTTATGCTAGCTGAACAACACCAAGTCTTGCTTAATGATGTCCTAAACCACCTATATGATAAATATGAGACTCTGATATTTCTAATAAACAAGAGCATGAGTAACTTTATGTTAATGCCTCATTATTTGTTCTTTGTGGACCTGCTTTTGAGGATTTCAGCTACATTCACATATAAATAAATATTTATGTATAAAATGAAATAAAATATTTACTTTACATATGTAAATTATTTGTATTATATATATATACAACTGACTGTATTTTATACTACTACCACTGTAAACAACACGTACAGTACTGTTATCACAAAAAACAATATCCCGCTGTATCATGTATTTTTACTGCATTAATCTGTTTTGTCAATTCATTGTATTTATAGAGGGGAATACTGTACTACGGAATTTGTCACTAAATAATTTAAAATGTCATTATTTATTCTACATAACAGTCGTAGAAAAGGAAATGGAAAACAAGTAAAGCAACTCTGAGTTTTGAAACATTTATTTTTTTAAGCAAAAAAAAAAGAAGCCCTTTATGAACACGTTAAGCTGAAACGTCAGCTGCATTATTTTAATAAAAACATTTAAAGTGCGGTTAACAATTACCAATACAGTAATGTTATTTACATTTTACGTTCTTACAAACGTGGACTGAAAACAGATAGCATATGTTTTACAGAAATATATCAGTACTGCCAGTCTTTCCCATTCTAGACAGAACATATGATATAGCCCATAAGTATGGAACACGCAGTTAATGTACGACAAACGAATGATGTGGGGGAGGGAGTCTCACCCATTTGGGTTCGTTTGGAGCTGTCCGAGGTCCTGACCTTTGTGGATTAAAATACATGTCGTACATTCATTGTTAAAAACAGCCGAGATCTAATGCAGTGGACGAATCTTTTTAACTATGCGCTAAAGGAAGTGCGGGTTCTTGTTCGTCCAATCAAACGGTTCGTAAACCTGGGATCCGGGTGTGATTCCGCCTCTTATTTGTTTGTGGTTTAACCGTTCAGGACGCTAGCAGTATTTGACTGCACACACCCACTCACAGGATCAGATGTGGACAGAGCAGTTGCTGTTTGAAAACCCGCTCCCACACCCAGTCCAGGATCTCCTAATAAATGTTCAACCGTACACACCTTTATCAAATACACATTTCACTACGAGCTCATTAAAAGTGTAGCACTCGTTCTAAGTTCAATGATTTTAAGACAGCCAAGAGTGCTGAAAGCAGCTGGATCTGAGACAAGCTGCAGTCTGACATAACAGGACGGGGTAAGTCAACTTATTAAGGGAGCAAATCAGGACATAGACCGGCACGGTCACAAATCAAACCTTTTAAACTATACACAGTAAAAAGTTTGAATAAATTACCTAAATATGCTACTTTTTAAAATTTATATCATAAGTTGATTAGTTATCATATAAAGTAAAATATTTAAATAAAAATCGTAGGCTATTTATTAGAGCTAAATCAACCTGACTAAAAGGTTAGGCTACATCAACAATAGAAGGTACTGTAACACAATTTGTTAAATCTCTAACACAATGTTGTTTGTGCTATGTATCTTAAACTTTGATATAACTAATTTTCCAGTGTTTGCCTGCTTCACATTAACGTTATTTAGAAATCTCCTACCGATCCCTGAACTGAAATTAATAACAAATATAAAGGGTGCTGCAGTTACAATTTACCCCCTACTGAGGAAATTTGTACGGCTAATAAAATATGGACATTTTACATTTAGGTAATTTATCAATTGGTTTTCAATAAATTATCAATTGGTAATTGAATTTACTATTAAATTTATTATTATCCCCATCACGGCCCCATCTGATTTTGAAAATTTCATTTTATCATTTTAGCTCAAACATTTGAATTCAAAACGCAATTAAAATTCTCAAGGAAAAAAATAAATAAACAAGAGAACCTGTGGATTCAGGTAATATCTCCTTAAATTAGCCATTCATTTTTACAGTGTAACCATGCATGTCATTACAGCTATCACCTGATATTAAAAACACAATATAAAGTTTAATAAAAATCTTGGCGCCAATGAAAGCCTACCCTTTCATGTCCTCCACCGCCACCACAATGCGACAGAACTGCGGAGGAAGCCTTATGTTTAACATGTATCTCTCAGGTACACAGTCTTTTTGTGCGTAAAATGAGAAATATTGCTGAAATGACTGAAAAAAAAAAAGGGCGATGTTATGGGTCTGCGGGTGCAATGCTGCGCACCATCGCCGGTGTCTCTGACTTCTCCATCTGGAACGCATGTCCTCTTTTGTCGGAAATCGGATATCCTTTTTCCTGGACGCGTTTCCTGACCTCAGCGCTGAAGTCTGGGCAAATACATCGAGCCGCAACACGACAATACTCATAATATTTAACCTCTTTTGCTGCCATTGGTTTTTTATAGATGGGTGACATTACGTGTTTTCTCTAAAAGTACAAATGACGAATATACAGACGGGGGAAATATATTTAATGCATCTGTTGCGTTTTACTAATGTTACTCCAATATTTTCAGAAGGCATTTAGAATGTGAATCATAGTATTTTTAAACGCTTTCTTTCAGACCCCACAGAAAATCTTCTGAAGGAAAGCAAAAGCCCTTCTTGGACCCCCATCAACACAGGCGTGCAAAAAGGTGAGTTTTGCGATGAATTGTTGACAGGTGAATGTTATTATTTTTGTGCAAAAAGTGTTTTTGCAGAATTTTTAAAATATGCTATTGTGTGCATTATTTAAAATTGTTAGACTGCTTATTTATGATTTTATTTCATTTTATATTCATGATTAGGCCTAAAAATAAAACATTAAATAAACCCAATTATATGCTACACTAACAAAAAGCTGCACTTGTGGTATATTTATTTTTTTATTTTTAGATCTTTAGAAAATCATCTCTTAAAAATTCCAAAAGAGGGGTTTCACCTGTGATGCTATAGAACATTTTGTGTTCCCAAAAGAACCTTTCAGTGAATATTTCGTTAGTGTGAAAAACATTTTAAGAACCTTTTTAACACTGCAAAAAAAAAAAAACCTTCTTCGTGGAACCATAGATATCAATAAAGAACCTTTAGTTTTTAGATTGGTGCAGAACCAAGAAGCCAATACACCAATGAAAAAAACATTTTCATTGTAAGTTTTTCATCTCCAAAGAACCATAAAACCATCTCAAGGACCCAAGAACTCAGTAAAACTGTTTTTGTAAAAAGAGTGATTTTGATAAGTAACCCTTTAATAGTGTCCGTTATTTACTTTCACTCTTCACATAGAATACTGATTACAAAAGGTCTGTCTGTTTTCCCTACATATATGTAAGCCTACGTTCCTTGCATTTTAGGAAGTGGACAAATCCAGCTATGGCAATTTCTTCTGGAGCTGCTGTCTGACAGCACCAATATGACCTGCATCGCCTGGGAGGGGACCAGTGGAGAATTTAAACTGATAGACCCGGACGAGGTGGCCAGACGGTGGGGGGAACGCAAGAGTAAACCGAACATGAACTATGACAAACTGAGCCGAGCTCTGCGCTATTACTACGACAAAAACATCATGACCAAGGTGCACGGAAAGCGCTACGCGTACAAATTTGACTTTAACGGCCTTGCGCAAGTGTGCCAGCCCTCCTCAACCGAGCAAGCTATTTACAAATTCCAGAGCAACTTCGCTCCCATCCAATTTTCAGGCATTTCCAAACTCAGTCTGGTTGCTCCAGGTGCTGGTCCGTCGGGGTTCTCATACTGGCCCGGATCTCCTCCGACCCTCTATCACAGCCACAACCTGCAACCGCCAGGACCCTTCGGTGCCGTGTCTGCGTCACATTTAAGTTGCGTTAACAATATCAACAGTTTAAATAACCTAAATAATATCAATAATCACTATAACTGATTTTTTTGGGGTTTTTTTGCCTCAGGAGTGCGCGCTGATAGACTACACAAGGCTAATATTCAAAAGCGCAACTGATTATTGCAGGCTATTCTAATCACACCCCAGAGAGAGAGAGAGAGA